GGTGGCTGATTACTGGCCTTGCGTGGTGCTGTGGGGGAGGAAGAACACGGGGCTCCTGGTGCGAGTGTGGGTGAGGAGGGTGGGGCTGGGGGTGGGGTGGTGGCCTCAACAGGGGAGGGGTAGGGACAGGGGGTGGAGGATGCTGCTCCTTCTTGACACTGAGAGGAGGCGGTGTGGGGAGGCGTGACCTAGGGGGCTCAAGGGGGGCTGCCGCTGCAGCGGGGGCAGGGGAGCCCGTCGGCGCAGAAGCCGGGGTGGGGCTAGGCACGGGAGGTGTGAAGGGCACCTCACTGTTGCTCTGTTCCTGGCTGCGCTGGAGCCCTGATACTTTGGCTGAGCTACAAGTCTTGGACTCTGGACTCTCATTCGTTGGCACACCTGAGAAGAAAAGAAAGAGCAAAATGTCAGAAAATGTGTAAACCTCTGTCTAAAAAAGTTCATCTGATGGTGTAAATGATGTATTTCGCATCTCGCATGTCAAACCATTTCAAAGGTTTGATTCAAAAACACCTAAATCAGATAATAGCCATACACGGATAGCTGTTTGCTACTATGTTTTTTCAGAGGAGTAATCAACAAGAAGTTCAACATAGGTCCCTTTCCTCCTATATAATGTTGTCCCAATGTCTTCCGCCCAAGGTTCCTCTTGTTTCCCTCTCCCTAGGTTCCATTAAGTGTTTAATCAGGTCATTTTCATGCTTGACTATAATCAGATGATCCAATTTCTTCCCGCAATCCAGTCAGTATGAATAAATCACAGCTAATTAAAGTTAAATGTCGGCCCCTATTCAGGGCTTTGCTGAGCACACAATCTGGCATGAAATAATTATGTTTCAATTGTGCTGTGAAGGGAGATCGTGGCCCCTTATCTTGGCCTCTCTGCCACTGCGCCTTTCTATCCTCCTTTCCTGATCTTTCAGGGGATTTGGGAAAGCACAGCAAAGCACTCTGAACTCTACCACTTTGTCTTTACCATTCATCAGGGGTCTTTTCAACAGACAAGAAGCTTTTATAATCAGCATTCCACTGAACAACGACTTTTCATACTTAGGCTGTTGCAATTTAATGACTGTAATTATATGCTGTTGTAGCAAAAAAATGGAAGTGGCAGAAAATAAAGCATCTTGACACCTTTCACATACAAAGAATTTCAAAGCACTTATGAATCTTAATGAAAAAGAAAATACATTTGGCGATTCCCTACTTCTCTCAGAGTTAAAAGAAAAGCAAAATGGGCCGCAAAGAAACTGAGTCTGAGGAGCTGGTAGTGCTACAACTACAATAGCTAAAACACTACTATAGCTTCTCAACTCATTAAAGTGTTAGTGGTGGAATTCATTTTAAGCACAGAAACATCACATGCAGGGAAAAAATCAGAGAAAGCAAGTGTTCACACACGGATAGGGAAAGATAGAGACTGAAGAAGAGAGAAGACAGCCTGGTGGAGATGAGGCTCTCTAAGCGGCTCTAATCTACGGCTCTGATGCAGCAGTACTTCAGTCAGAAGGCTTACTAGCGCCTCAATTAAAAAAGCTCCATGGGCACTCTCGACAGTAACAAAAAAATGAGAAGAGCCGGGAGCTGCTGTCAAGCCAGTGAGAACTCGACATGCAGCCCACTAATGGAATATCCAGTCCCTATTAACAGCCTGCTTAATCTTTCAAGGATCCTAACACCCATAAAAAGACCAATAAAAAGGCAGGGCAGAGCTTTTATTTTTTTATTTGTTGAGCTCCCCCTCCCTCGCCTCTTGCGTTTTATGGGAGAACTGGGGCTGGCTAAGGTGTCACGATTTTCTAATGAATTCCGGGGTCCAGGCGTATATAGACCTCCCGATTTATAGGGGTCTGGGATTTGGATTAAACTGTCAGGCTCTCATTCCTGCAAGCGAAAGAGAAAGAGAAAGACTGAAGGCACAGACAGACAAACAGGCGAAGAAGCAAATATCCACAGTCGAAATGTCGCCGCTGGGTGATGTTGCCGTGGCAACCTGTTCTCCCAGACACAATGCGAGGCGAATGATACTGAAGGAAGTCTCACTACGACCACTAGAAGATAGAAAGGGGTTTCTAATACTAATGCTAGGAAGCCAAGGCCACAGCGAGCGTCGGGTTATCTTAATGATGATTCTAATGGGCTCTAATGGAGGCAGGGAGGTATCAGCTCAGACCAACCCATCCCTCATTAAAATCACTCTGCAAGCTAAGACACTTACGCATAGACACACACATGCCCAAATGCACACAACGGAAGATGGACACAAAAAAGTTTTCAGTGTGGGCATATTGCACACACACATACTAACACAATAGCTTCAACGTCTTCATTATAGTGAAAGGCAGCACAAAGCGAGAAAAATCTGACCGAATTTGTTGGAGAAAGCAAAAGGGTAAGTCATTTTAATTACTTTTTTGCTTCAGAACTGATGGCAACATGCTAGAATGCATTCCTGATATACAAATATAAATAGTTATTGTGTGATAGCCATTTGAACTACAACTTCCTCAGCAGCAAACAGGTTGTCAAAAGTGAAGAATTAATGGTCGTAAACACTGTGAATATACTTAACTGATAGATTCATTTTTCACATTTTTGTAAGCGTTTAAGCAGCAGCCATTTTAAGTATAAACTAACATGCAGTGATAACAAGATGACAAAAATGCCTCTATGACACATGTCACCTGAGGGCTATAATATAGTGAAATCACTGTGGTTTTTCAACAAACACCGTCCCCTTGCTGCAAAACTGCACAACTGTCAAGCATTTCAACAAACTGCCAAATTCGCCATTGTTTTGTTCTTCTTTTCCTCAGGACATGGAACACACTTTGCCTGCAATCACATACTGAGGAAAACAGTAGGCAAGCCACAGGCAGTCATGTGAAACAAATGCCATATGAGTGTCTGTGCAAAAAATGTGCTGTCCTGAAGCCCTGTCCCGCAAACCTGAGCAGATGGTGTTAGTGAGTCAGGCAGGTTGGAGGGCAGCCCGGTGGTGGGGGGTGGCACCCCTCCCGTTAGCTGGGTTAGTACACCGGGGGGACAGGGACATTCCCTAGGGGGGTGTTGGCAGGTCTGCTCACCAGATGACATCTCATCCCAGTATTGATCTTTTTATAGTTGTTCCTGTGGCCCTGCTTACTCAGGGGAATTGGGCCTTGCCCTGTACGCACGTGCCTGGGTTTGCAGTGATATGGGGTTGGTGGTTGGAGGGGTGGAGGGAAGAGTGTAACAGGGACTAAGGTAGCAGACGGACAACAGGCCGTTGGGATTCACTGGTCATGACTGATGTGTCCAGTGGGGAGTCTGGGGTGAAAACAATGTCGCTACACAGCTGTTCCTGCCTCCAATATCCTTCACTTCTGACCCTGTTTACCCCTGTGGAACATCTGGAGAGCTGGCACCGATCTGGTCCTATGTGGTCTTACGCAGACAGATGGCTCAGCTTGAAATGGCTTGGACCAGTCTGGAATGGCTTGGCCCTGAGCTGGACCAGAATGGGCTGGTTGTCATCCACCTCAATAAAGGATAACGTGTCTCCTCACTGTGACCAGGATATCCCTCTAAGGCATGGTCTGTTGACACGTCATGTCAAAAACACAAAGCCAAAGCCCTGAAGGACAGCGCTGTACACTTCTGCCCCTAAATGCTTTGAGTTGCAAAACTGTAGCCTTTAAAAGGCATTCGCTTTGAAGCTTTTTTTTTTAAACCACTTTATTTTAAACACACCTGGCTACCTGCAAATGGACCCAACGACCTCATGAATGAGACGAGGGCCCTAGAGAATATTATGATTCTGCTTCCAACTAAAACCCTCAGCAAACTAATGCTGTGAATGCAAATAAGTGTGTTACATAAATTACGTGCTCACTGCTGACATGATGCCAGTATATACAACAGCCAGGGAAATATAACCTGTATGCAAAAAGCTTTTTCAGATTAGATATGAGGGTATGCAAATTCTCCCTGTGACAAGGGGGGTCGGGGGCTAAGAGAAGCTTAAGGCCACTGGGTGTTCTCATTTACTAGGCAAACACTGTGGTTCACTCCCTTCATGCCTTTGCCAAAGCATAAACAGTCAGGGCACTGATAAAATAAGGACACGAACAGACAGATATTTAAATAAAGCGGCATATCTGCTGAAATACGTTGGAGGATGCAGAAGGTATGTGAGAATGCATGCTGCCTTGATCTGTCTCCCGCTGGCTCTGGTTGACAGAATATTCTGCTGCTCTTGACGGTTGAGCTCACAATGATTTGGTTTTTGTACCTCTCTAGACAAGCAATCTGCACAGAGCCAAGGCTTAGCTCACGAGTGAGTGACTGTGGAAGATGGCTATAACAGATACTGGCAGGAGGCAGGAAACCGCAGTCGTGCCAATCAACACTTCATTGCTGTGAGGTATTCAGTCATAAAAAAAAAGGTGGGGTGATTTCAACAAAATTATTTTGTATGAGAGGAACAGAAGGGCTGAGCAGTGTTGAATCATTGTGCTAATAATAAAATCATAGGAGAAATTTGCAATGGCTTGCTTTCCCTCACACTATTTAATCTGCCTCAAGCATCTCCAAGCTGGTAACGAGGGGAGCCAAGGCGACGTTTTTGCAAATCACTCAGAGATGTTAATGGGGGAGTGGACGAGGAGAAAGCTGGCCAAGAAAGCTAAAGAGTGGGGACAGCTGGCACGTTTCAATTATTTGTCTCTGTCTCTTCGTTGCAGCTGACAAAAGGAGTGGATGGCAGCAGAATGGGGATGGGTGTTAAGCTGTAACACGTTTACAGTCAAAGCCCAGGCATAAATTGAGAACCTAATGTTCATTTCAGAGAGCTGGCAGCTCAAGCTGCAGGATGAATCCGTTTTTTGCACACATTGGATCCCAATTCAAACACCAGCCATATGGTGCGGGACACATACGCCATTCACCTCTCATGGCACATATGCCAATGTTGTGGAAGGGACGTGGAGCACATCTTCAAATCGGAAAGGAAGAGAGAGAAAGACATGGGTCTAAATGTTGACGTCCAATTTCTTCCGTCTTCAGTCCAGGGGTGCTCCAAAAGCTTAAACCTTCATTAAAGGTCCAGTGTGTAACATTTAGAAGGATTTATTGGAAATTGTAAATGAATATAAATTTCTTAGGTATGTTTTCATTAGTGTAAAATCACATTAAAATAAGAATCATTATCATTACTCTGTTACCTTAGAATAAGATTGGTTACCAATCGTAACCGGACAATATTCACTCTAATTAATTTGATCAGCAGTCTCTATGAACGCCAATCAGAAGATTTATTCCACAGGAAGCTTATTCAGTCTTCAACACATAGATTTACTTGGGCAGGCTGCCTGGTATATTAACAGTCAGCGACTTATTTT